TTTTTGTCGGGTGCATTGAACAGCTGCGTGAAAACGCGGGTCGAATCGAGCTGAACTGAGACCAGCTAATGCCCAAACAGCTTAGGTGTTAAGTAATATAATATTCAATTAAATTTACTGCATGTTTATAATTATAAGCTAATATACATAAGTATATTTATAAATAAATATATAGATATTAAAAAATTTAATTTATAAAGTGCAGTGAATATTATTTAAGATATTATTAAGGTAATGTCTTGTTAAATAAAATGCACTCAACGTTATTTATGTTGTTAATTTAATTAATAAAAATGACAATAATATAAACAATGTGTGGGCAAGAAAAAGCATCACAAGCTATGAAAAATTATTAACATAATGCAATTTTTTTCATATGAGCAGAATATCTTATAAAGTGTTTCATTTTAGTTTCAATTAAATAAATATTTACAAAAAAAACTAATAAAATAATTGAAAAATCAGCCAATTAAAAGCAAAGAAATAGCAAAAAGCTTTAAAAATGTTTTCTTTAACTTAACATTGCGCTCTTACGACCATATTAATCCGATATTCAGACAGCTCGGCAACTTATTTGCCTTAATTCCGCTCTAAAAGCGACTAAAAATGCGCCAATTATTCAAACAGGTCGCGAATTTGGCTTTTTGTTTTAACTTATTTATATTTCTCTGTCAGTTTCAATTGCCAAATAAAATTAGAAAAAAACGGATTCAAACAATGGAGTTGGCGGCAAACAATGGCAAAAGGTGTTGCTGTTGCGCTTTAATGTAGCCAGCCACAAAGCCCAACAAAGCGCGGCAACTGCACAACAACAATGGGCCAAAACCACAGCAGCAACAACAGCAACGACAACGGCAACACAATTCACATTCGTCTAGAACTTGGCTGTGGATGTTGGATGTGGCCTGTCAGCTGACCCAGTTTAGGCCACAATTACAATTCCGTCTCAAAGTCTTGTTTGTCTTGGCTGTGTTGCTGTCATTTGCTGGCTGCGCAGACGCAGCAGCAGCAGCAGCAACAGCTTGTTTTTGGCTGCCCAAAGTGGCATCTACAACAGCAACAACAGCAACAACAGCCATGGCAGATCTGTGTGTTGCTGACATTTGATAGTTTGCTTTCAAATTGACTACAATTGGAGTCTGAGTCGAAGTTGGAGTCGAAGTTGGAGCCGTTCTACTGCTGTTGCTGTTGCCGCTGGCGACAATTGTGTGCCCATTCCCAAGCCACACTGCCCCAAAATTGTCGCTAGTTTGGCGTTTTAATTGCATTTCGATTGACAGACGACAGCACGCATACGCCACGTGTGACAGCTTGAACAGTCCTGAACATTCGCAATTAGCCCAACGGTACAAAATTTTGATTAATTCAAAAATACAAGCGAGGATGCGGCTGCTGCTGCTGCTGCCACAGAATGCGGCATGTTTGTGCGCGTTTGTGCGCGTTTGTGGCACCGAAATGGCAAATTACACACAAAAAACAAATAAATCTTAAAAATAAGAGACAACAACAAAAGCTTTAAGTTTTATCTCAAGATGTTAGCCTGATTTGGCGTATAAATAAAGCACATACGAATCTTCAAGCTTCATTATTCAAAAGCTACTTGTAGTTAAAAGCACAGAAAAGCTTTTGAACTGATTATCCTTCTGGCCAATCTGAAAGCTTGATTAATCAGAAACATATAGATTTACGTCTAGTGAGCTTTTTCTTGAAATTTCAAGCACACAAAAGCTGATAAAGTGTATTAACAAGAGCTCTTGCCTAATCTTAAAGCTGTTAGCTGATTAGGTATATAAAAGCTCGTACTTAACTTAAAACTAGACTAGTGAGAAGCTTAAAGCGTTACTTTTAGTAAGTTTCTTTTTAATGCTTTCAGCACACTATAAACTAACGCTCTTACTAATGTTAACTGTTGACTAAAAACTGAAAGTTTTACAAGTTTTCACTTAGAGCTTAAGTCTGCTAACAGTAGATCGTGCATAAATTAAAGCTATTTTAAGTCGGTTGGCTTAACAATTTAAAAACTAAAAGCTTTAAGATTCATAAGTTTATTCTTAAAGCTTAAGGCACATGACTTGTGACGAGCTAGATTAATTGTGTGGATTAAATACTTAAGCTTGACTAACCACAAACTTGAAGCTTTACGTTTAACAACTTGCTTAAGGCACACGAAAGCTCTTATTAATCTTAAAGCTTGACCAAGCGCAAGCAAGAAGCTTTAAGTTTTACAAATTGCCTGTAAAAGTGCATTTGTTAAAGCTCCAATTATTTTTCAAGTATATTCTATCACAATTCTCGCACTTTATACCCCTCGTTCTAACTGGTTTTAGTTTGCAAAAGTCTTCTATTGCCTGCTGCTCTATTTAAATCAAGCGCTGTGCCACTTTCAGCTGGTGTCATTGAACCATAAGCAGCAGCAGCTCCTGCAACAAAAGCGCGGCACGCCCACTCACAGCACAATTGCATTTAGTTGGCTCTTTGCATGACGTGAGTTGACCCAAAAAACAAATAATAATAATAAAAATGTTTTTGAGAGTTGAGTTGGGCGAGCAATGTGTTTTTTTCCCCCATTTTTTTGGAGCTAGATCGTAATGAAAATTGCAAACTTAATTGGAAATTCTCTCACGGCGTGCGATTGGCAAAATGGCATTGCCATAAAGTCGACAAAAGCCTAGCCAAGAGCTTAATTAAACAGCAGCAAATCAAAACGCCCAGCAACAGCAACAACAGCAGCAGCAGCAACTGTTGCAGCTACAACAACAGCAATCACAAGCTGCCAGAAAAGCAATTGAAGTGAATTATTGAAACTTTCCATATGCAACGGTCGCTGAGTTAAAAGGATTGAGGAAGCTGCAAGCTGGAAAAATCATTAAAATTGTCGAAAAGCAAACACGAACATCTCTCGCTCCCTCTGTGTGTGTGTGTGTGTGTGTGTGGGCTGCTCTGGAGAGCTGGAGAGGATTGGCCCGGCTTGGCGTGGGCAACGCTGTTCGAAATGAAGGAAGTGTTTGCTCAACGCAACGCAACGCGAACAAAGGCCATAAAAAATGGCAACAAATGTTGCAGGGCGACTAATAAATGTTGCAAGCAGCAACAACACAGCACAGCAACAACAACAGCTCTGACAGTGACAACAGCAACAACAACAACAACAGCAACAAATATCTGTCACACACAGACACAGACACACACCCACTGAGCATGTTATTGGCCCCTCCACCCGCCCGTGGCTGCCTCCACATCCCTTTCACGTTTTAGGCAATTAATTGTGCAACATCAAATAAATTGCATTTAAACGCAACAACTGCAACGTTGTCGGCAGCAACTGTTGCCGTTGCGGCAACATTTTCGGTCTGACAAGCTTCATAAAAACTAATTTGTATTTTCTGTTTTTTTTTTTTTTGTGAGAGTCTCCTTTTTGTGATTGCCGTGTGTGGATTGAGTTAACCAGGAAGTACTCCTACATATGCCACAAAACGTCTATGCAATAAGCCAAAAGCTGCTGCTGGCGGCACATTGTTTGTGCGCTTTTCCCCGAGGGGCTTTACAGCTTGTTAACGAACAACTAAGATAATCAACTTGGATGAATTAGACCTTAAGGCGCAGCTTTGTCTTTTGCTGGCCAAGCGATTCAACCAAGACAATCCACAGAAAGTGCGGAAGACAAATTGAAGATTGAATGAAGATGCACGGTATCGCCTTTCTATGCGATTTTCATGACATCATATATTGCTTACTGAGTTGTGCATAACAAACGAGATAAATAATAGAGAGAGTCGAGTGAAAGAAGGGGCAATTGAGCGATATAGAAAACAAGTTAGAAAGATTAAACAATTGAGATAATTTGAGAATAAATATGAGAGGAGGAAGAGAGAGAGAGAGAAAGAACGAGAAGTGGATATCATAACAGCTATAATACATACAGTTCTCTATATTATATTACATAATAAGCAAAATAAAAAAAAATTAAATCTAAAGCAATTCCAAAGTATAAATAACTTTGGCCCCAACCATTGCGTTCATCTAACCATATACGGTAGATGTCAATAGTGGGAGAAGATAATTTTAGCCCGCATCTTGTATATGAAAATATTTATTGCTTGCAATATTTTCAGTACAACGGGCAATTGTAAATAGAAAATCAGGTTACGAAACAAACAAAAAGTAGGTTTTAGACATTGAATGAGAATAACTTAACAGAATATATATTAATTAAAATATTGAACCATTTTGATGCTTATCAAGATAATTAATCCATTCAAAATGCCAATTAATTTCTCAGGACAGCTCTTATTCCTGTAAGTTCTAAGCTCTGCATAACAGCTAAGATAATATTAAACTCTTGATGTTACTTAAGGTCATGAGAATCACATAGAGAGGCGATGTGCATGAGAAATGTAAATATGAATATATGAACACACGGATACAATTTGATCTACACAGAAACATATATATAACGCACATATAACTTATTGGATCAGTTTGTAGAGCTGATAAGCAGCATAGACTTTTTGGGGCAAGATATGTCTGCTGCAGCTTCTTGCATAATATAGGCTGACGCAGGCACCAATTTACGTATTATCAAATCAATTATATTAAGTAATAAAAACCAGCTTGGCTTATGAGTGGCAAGTATTAGCGTAATCATGTTTAGACTATCTAAATTTAATAGGGGCCTATTAATTAAGCGAGCCATGCTCAGACATTGCCTTAGAGCACAGCTGAGCAGCAGATTAAGAGCTCACGTCTGTCGGATACTTATCGAGCTCGCCAATAGCCATTGGCAGCCGCTCGACAGTTGGCAGACACAATCTCTAATCGGCAAAAGTGTAAAATCTGCCAACAATTTAACAGTTGGCTAATAAAGCTGGCCACGATGACAACAGGCGGCGACTAGGTGCAGTCGCCATTCACTTTCCGCCAGATAAAGTCCTCGTTTGGGCAAGTACTTAAGCATAGATGGGAGCCAGCGGGAGGGGAGGGGCGGGTGGGGGTCTACTTACAGTCACGGCTCATGCCAGCCGAGAGGCATTTCTTGAAGCGGCAATATTGACAGCGATTCCGATTTAGGCGTATGACCAGGCACTTGCCGTCGCGCAGGCAGCGATATTCGATTTGTTTCTGAATGCTGCGACGAAAGAAACCCTGCAACATGCAAACATAAGACATGAGCAAAACAGAGAGAGAGTGAGAGGGGGGAGGGGAGGGAACTTACCTTGCAACCCTCGCAGGAGGTTACACCATAATGATAGCCCGATGCCTTGTCGCCGCAAACTTTGCAGGGCACAAACGACTTCGAGGAGACGCCGTTGTTGCCGTTGTTGCTGCTGTTGTTGTTGCTGCTGCTGCTGCTGTTGTTGTTGTTGTTGTTGTTGTGGTTGCTGCTGCTGCTGCCGTTGCTGGAGTCAACGATGCCGAATTGTTGTTGCTGCTGCTGCGCGTGCTGCTGCTGCTGCTGCTGTTGCAACTGTTGCTGCTGCGAATGTTGCTGCTGCTGCTGCTGCTGCGCGTGTTGCTCTGCAATGACAAAGTGCAATTGTTGTTAACTCTTTCTGTTCACATTACTCATACGCCACTTGGGCAGGCGCCACAAATTGCCTCGCGTTGGCAATTTGCTAAATGCGCGCGGCTATCGCCTGCTCCACATCTGCCGCATGTTGCTTGTCGCTTGTCGCCTCATTTGTCAGTGACAAAAACATTGACAGCTCGCCTGTCAATACACTCCCCCCCCCCCACCCCTCCTCCTGCTCCTCCTCTTCCGAAAGGCGACGAGTTGGCAAATGAAAAAGGAAGCATACTCCATGCGATTGGCAGCTCTAATGGACTCGGTGGGTGGCTAACGGTTGGGTGAATCCAGGGAATTGGTTGGACCAAATCAGATTAATGGAGCACGCGCTGTGGCAATGTGTATGTGGCATGCCACAGCTAAGCAGCAAAAAATTACATTTAACTTTAATGCGTATGCATAACTATAACTAGCGTTGCTTGACGCTTTATAATTCGCAACCAGTTAAAGCTGCGGGTGTGTGTACCCTGAACCCATGGAAAGCTTAAAAAGGGGTATAATGTTTTTGTGCAAATGTATGTAACAGGCAGAAGGAAGCATCTTCGAATCCATTAAGTATATATATTCTTGATCAGCATCAAAAGCCATGTCCGTCTGTCTGTCCGTTCGTCTGTCTGTCTTTTCGTCTATGAGTCTGTTCTTATGTATAAACGCGTCGATCTCAGAACCTATCAGAGCTGGAGCCTAGAAATTTTGAACGTAGCTCCTCCTGTTGCCGGCGCAGTAAGAGTTTGTTTTCGATAATCGATAACCCGCCCTGTTTCGAAGCAATCGATAAAAATCGATGTCGAAATCCTCTGTTTTGAGCAAATCTCTTGGGTCTTAAGAGCTAGAGTAAGCAAATTTGACTTGTAGTTTGGAGAATAATATATATAGATGAAGTATCTTTCATTTTATAACTATCGATAATTTGAAAGAGACCAGAGCTGCGGGCAACAGAAGGAACTACGTTCAAAATGTCAAGTTTCTAGATCTTATAGTCTTTAGGCTCGATGAGTTTATACAAACGGACAGATAGACAGAGAGACGACTCAGCTATTGATACTGATCAAGAATATATATGTACCCTAAGGAATCGGAGCTGTCTTCTTCAATGTGTACCTCTACAAGGCTATGAAAGAACGATTCTTGAAAATTTACTAGGCTTAATAGATATTGTACTTGTATAGATATTGTTAAAGTATCTGAAAGGCAATTAACCTATAAGTTTTATCCATTTTTTAAGGTTAAAGAACCTTTGAAGCGACTTCAGCTTTAAAATAAAGCTGGCCACACATTTTGGGAACGCAGCGCTTGCAGCAGCTAGAAGCGAAGAAGAACAAGTTCAAATGCAGCTCAAAAGTGCATTCAACTTCAGCAGCAGCAGCAGCAGCAACATTGATGATGGCTGCTTGAATGTGTGATAAGCGAAAATGCCAAAAAATAAAAATAACAACAAAATCACGTATACGCCACCTACACACAAAAGCAGCAGCAGCAGCGGGAACTGGAAAGCGGGTAGCCGGTTGTCGTCAGTCACGGGGAAAAGGCGGCAACAACAACTTGCAACAGCCGCACAATTTTCACTGCAAGCGCCGAAAATTTGCAATGCAAATTGCTGAGAGGCAGCAACAGCAGCAACTGCAACAACTGCAACAGCAACAACACGTAGCAAATTGTGCGCTTCTTGGCATTTCATTTCATTTCAATTTGCCTTTTTCTAATGCAAAAAAAGAAGGAGAGAAATAAAGGCAAATGAACTAAGCGCGGAGTTTGAACTACGAGTGGCAGTTGTTGCAGCAGTTGTTGCAGCAATCGGCGTTGCCACACCTCGAAATGCGAGGCGAAATGAAATGAAATTAATGTGCAAGTTGCACGAACTGGACGCAAGTGGCAGGCAGTTGGGGGCGGGGCATGCCCCACTGTTACGCGCTTGTGCGATTGCAAATTGAATTTTCAGCCAAGGCGCTGGAAAATGTCCGCAGCAAAGGAAATTCAAGTGGCAGTCGCTGCTGCTGCTGCTGCTGCTGCTGCTGCTGCTTTACTTCATTTTCGCGCCGCGTTCAAATGCAAATCACTTGGCCGCCTTTGTGAGTTGACAATTTAGACGCCATTGTTGCTGCTGCGGCAGGCACTGGAGCAGGGGCAGGGGCAGGGGCGGCTGCCTGGCATTTCCGCGTTGCCAGACGGCGGCAAGCGATAGACAAGCAACAAGCAACCGCAGCGACGACCAGTTCATAATTTTTGTTGCAAGCCGTTTGCTTTTGTGATAAAAAGAAGTAAAAAACAAATAAGAGGCTCTAGTCGGGAGTACCCGATTAGGAGATACCCTGAACCCTCTGCTACCTCATTTTCAACAGTAGATCTTCTTGTACCATAGAATATTTGCGTATTCTCAAAAATTCAATTGCATTTAAATTGTGGCTTATATTGGTGGGCAATACAAATTAGTTTATTAACTTGATTAATAGCTATGTGGTGGTAGCGGGAAGGTGGCGATAGCTATAAAATGAAAGATACTTGATATATATATACTCTTCTAGAAGCTACATGTCAAGTTTGGTAACTCTAGCTCTTATAACTTACGAGATTTGCTCGAAAGACAGGATTTCGATATCGATTTGTATCGATTACTTGGAAACGGGTAAAGTTATCGACTATCGGAAACAAACTTATACTGCGTGGGCACTAGGAGAGCCTACGTTCCAAATTTCTAGATTCTAGCTCTTATAGGTTCTGAGATCCTTAAGCTCATACATACGGACGGGCGAACGGGCGAACGGACGGACGGACAGTCGGACATTCGCTAGATCGACTCGGCTATTGATGCTGATCAAGAATATATATACTTTATGGTGTCGCAGATGCTTCCTTCTGCCTGTTACATACATTTGCACAAAAACATTATACCCTTTTACCCATTTTTCAGGGTATAAAAAAAAAGACGCGACGCAAAGTAGAAAGGAAAACTGATTGAATGCTTGCCAAATGACTGACTGACTGGCAGTTAACTAAATGCCAGCTGAGCGTCGTTAGCGACAGCAACTAGTTTTGGGCAGCACCGTGGCAATAACCCCCCTCCCCCCCCCCTTCACCCTACATCCTACTTCTGTTCCTGCTCTTCACTCCTTGTGCAATTTAATTTGTTTTGCCGCCTCACTAATTGCAGCAATTAAATGCTGCTAATAAATCCTTGCCAGCAATTCTGCAACTGCAACTGCGGCCAATTAGAAAGCGGGGAAAACTCGAATGCCGCAAGTTTGCTCAAGCACTTTGTTGGCCATGCGGCAAACTCATTTAGACCCTTACGCAACGCAGTTGGCAGAGAACAGCCCAAACATTTGCAAATCAACAACTTCTACTACTTGAAATATATGAGAGCCGGAAGTTTGGGCCTTTCAATTGAAATTGGGCTGAACTTAAAGCAACTCTCTAAATTAAATATTATATTAAATTCAATTAATTATAAATTAATGAGAATTAAAGACTATTTAAATAAATAAAAATTGTGACAAGAAAAAACAAGTGGGAGTGCTCTAAACGGGAGTGCACGATTAGAGGATACCCTGATCCTTCTTCTACCAACGCCAATAAAAGATACTTCATTTGTATATACTATTCTAGAAGCTACATGGATTGCGATATGCATCTTATCGATTGCTTGGAAACTGGAAAAGCTATCGATTATCGGAAACTAGATCGTACTGCGCATCACTAAGAGGCCCCACAACTGATAAACTTGGATAGATGGACTCTGCTATTGATGCTGATCAAGAAGAAGAAGACTTTATGGGATAAGAGATGCGCTCTTTCGCCTGTTACATACATTTGCATAAAACTCATATACCCTTTCACACACTTTTAATGGGTTCAGGGTATAAATACATATTACTAGAATCTAAATCTAATGAATAGATCAATTTAACGGAGATTAACAAGGATTATTTAACTCTCACAAAGTTCAAAAAAAAAATAATCAAATATATATAGAAATATATAGATATAGATAAGGAATGTTGTTTGACATTGAAAAGGAAAGGTTATTGTCACGGAAAATGAAACAAGACCCGACCCTAAAACATAAATAACTTTGGCCCCAATCATTGCATTTATCTAGACATATTTGTTAGCTGCCAAATTTGGCCAAAAATTCAATCTAGCCCGCTTTTTGTATATGAAAATATTTAGGATTTACAATATTTACAGTACAGCAGGCAATTGCAAATTAATTTTATGTAAAATTGATGGAAAATCAAAAACCAAAGCCAAACATATTTTGGCCCATGTGGAAAATCAGGCTTAAATGGAGCTGATTACAAGTATTTCATTATAGGTAAATTTCATAAATTTTCCCTGGTTAGTAAAAGCTTGAACCAAGTTTTGCGGAAATCCTGAAAAACGCAGTCAAAATTCAACTTGATTCAGGTATTTACTTTAACTAAGCAAATGGCGAACGTAATTTGAAGTTATTTATGAAAATGAAAACAATTTTTCATGGCTATCAATTGCAACAACTGCAACAACAACAACAACAACATTGACAGACAATCGCAACATGAAAGGCAATTTGCTTGCCACATCTATCAAATGCTGTGAAGAAAAACTAACAACAACTGCGAATTACATTCATTTTCACATTTTCCATGCTGCGCCTTAATAGTTTCCGCAAAACGAGGCAGACGAAAAATGCGAATAGATGGAGAGAAGAGAGAAGAGATAAAAGCAATTGTTGCTATTGTGCAATGCAAATGCATGAGCAGCAACACGGAAGAGACGTGACACACTTGCAACATGTGGCATACCTGCGTGTCCTTTGCTCAGATGCGCAACAGTTGCAGCTGCTGCCGCGTGACCGGAGGAGGAGCTGACCGCCGACGAGGATGTTGCTGTTGTATGCTGTAGCTGGAGCTGTTGCTGCTGTTGCTGTTGCTGCTGCTGCTGCTGCTGCTGCTGCTGCTGCTGACTGGCATTG